TACTGATGCATCTTTTTTTATCATTCGTCTGGCACTTCTACTGCAGCTCCTGATGAAAATTCAGGACACCCCTCTCTCCCACAACCATCACACTCTCTCACAACTTTTCTGCATGCCTTTTGAGACTTTGCCTGAATTCTACTGCTTTTCTGAATCTCTCCTCTCCATGCTCGATAGAGGTGACCATTCACTTCCTCCTCTGAACTCCCTTGTCACCTAGTATCTACTTTGACATTGTTTTGCAAGCTCAAATTTCCCCTTGACTTGATTATAATGCCACTTTTGAAAGGGACCAGGACTGATCCATCTTACTAATGTTCCCTTCCCCACATGTATCTAGCTTTTCAGGAACAGTTGCTGAATACAAGGACTGAGCTTGTGGGTGTAACCTGCGTAGAAGGGGGTGTTGAACAGGACCTGTTGACTGTCATCATCTTTGCAATTAATTTATCTAGGTACTCCTCACAACCAGTCCTTTAGTTTTTGAAGTTGGCTTTACTTTTTTATAGTGTTGTGTTTATTTTATTTGGGATGCTGTTCATGTATGGAGATTTATCAGTGAAACTAATCTATGATTTTGGCTACGTAATTGGCACCACCCTCACAATCTTAAAGGGAGTTGTATTTTATGGCCAACCACTTCCTTGCTTGACCTCCTTTAATGCATGTGATAGTGATTCCAGCAGCTAATTGGTCAGCACCCTACCGTATTCTGTCACTCGCAAGTTTTAAAATCAACTGAAAATAGTCTACTGCCAACTGGAGAACTACTCAAATGCCATAAATCCTATGGAGCCTTTTGATCCTGGACCTTTCCCCCTTTTTAAAGTCTTGGTTTCTTCAACTGCACAAGCTGGGGGAGGTTAGAGGGGTTTCTGGTAGAATTACAAGCAAGAATCCATTCTCCAAAGATTCTGCCTTCTTCAAGATAACTCACCACAGGTTCTCTCCTCACCACATTCCACCTGCTGCTAGCTCAGTGTTTCTCAAACTTTCTTCCTTCCCGCATAAGGTTCAAGAGTTTGGCTTTTTACTCTGTATCTCCTGTATTTTTTTACTTAGTCATTTCCTTTATTACTTCTTTTTACTTAAGTAAAGCCCAACCTTAACCTCCCTAACTGCCCCAAAGATCTATAGAGTAGAGACAGCTGGGGCTTCCAGAGTTCCTCCACTTCTTCCCTCAGATTCACTGTCATGACCACAGAACCCTGCGCACACAGGGTTTAGTAAGTAGGGGCAGAACGAGAGAATCTGTCAACATGCCTAAGACCACCATGACCACCTTCCCATTCGTTCTTTGGTCAAGTCTAGGTGGCAAATACCCTGAAACTGGTGCTTTTAGTATTGTGTCTGGTAACATATGAATTTGTGAGTCTTACTTAATAATCAAAGAGAACTGATCTTCATTTTATTTATGTGAAACTATGCTAAAAGGTATATACTGACCCATGTGCCTTACTTCTAATCTCTCCAAATTTACACACAAACACACTCTAAAAATTGTCACGGCACTTAAAAAAAATGGAGTGAGTCTAGGAAGTTCATTATTAAAGTAGGGTGGAGCTGTTCTCCCTCACAGCTCGCACTGTCTGCTTTGCTGAGCACCCAAGCTAGTGAGCAATGCAAAGTACAAGGTCAGCCTTTTCATGAGCCAAATTCACCAATTGAAGACTGGAAATACATGTTCATCTCTGCTGACACTATTTACACAGCTTTTGTAACAACATTCAACCCTGCTGGGTAGATTGGCTAACAGTGATATTATAACCTCCTTAGTACAGATTTTTAGATTAAAATAGAACTTTAAATTAAAATAACTAGCTGATGCTGTTTTGCAGAACCACTTTAAAAAAATCCCCAAGCCACAAACATCTTCACAAATGAAACATTTGCATTATATGTTCACTCCTTTGGTTCCCCGCACAAATAATGCTTAGCCTACACAGAACTTTGCCTGTGGGAAAACACATTTAAGTTTCCTCAGCAATGCACAGTGTTGAACAACTTTACTTACATGTCATGAAAGTTTTCATGAAATTCCTTCTTTGCTATTATATTATTTTTTCAGTGGCGGGGATCAAATGCAGGGCCTTTTTGCACTTACTAGGCGAGCACTCTACCTCTGACCTGCAACCCCAGCACAGAGTCCTTCTGTATCTTGCGTCCAAAACACCTAGTGAAATGGCCTCAGTGTGTGACCACAATGAATGTCTGCTGACGTAAGAAATAATCAAATAATGCAAGGATTCACTATTGCGGTGGAAGTTGTCTGCTAGATCACTAAATAATGGTAACCACTGTTATTAAATTCGACAAAAAGTTACTTAACAGAAATGTGCAAATTCATCTGAGCTTGAGGGGTGTCATGGCGGGGGGGCTGAGAGACGCTGCCTCTATGGATCTTGCAGGAAGACAGAGATTCTGCCCAGGTGCGGTTGATGGGCTTAAGACAGGGTGCCTGGTCAAAGGTGAAGCTGGGCATAGCCAAGCCAAGGTGTCCAGACCATCCTCCGAGACCCAGGGGTGTTTGGTGACACACGGGAGAATCCCGGCCAGTGTCCTTGTCCCTGAGGCATGGTCTCCTTCTGTGGGAGCTGCTGCCCATCATCTCTGGATGATCAGGGTGAAGGATCCCTAGCAATGCCATGAGACAGTGCTAAGCCCCGTTCAAACTCGGAAACTCTCCCTCTACTTTTCAACACCTGTGGGATGCTTATAACCTCTGCCAAACAGAGGGTAGAGCCTTCACCCCAGAGGGGTAATGGTTAAGTGTCAACGAGAAAGCCCTGTCACCTGCACTTGGGTGGTCAATCAATGACTGAGTGGTCAAGAAACCCTTCGCTGATAGTCATGTGATTTAGCGTCTAGATCTGCTCTGCTGCTTCTAATCCTAGGCAAGATGTTTGGCTTCTCTGAACTGCATTTCCTCATCTGAAAACAGTTTCCTTCTACCTTTTACTTTATCGCAATTGAAAACTGTCCGTTTTAATTATTTCTACTGTATTAACCACTGAAGTAGTCAACATGCTTTCATTGTTGTACTTCCTTTTCTAAAGATATGCCTTTATAAGTCAACTTTATTCGAAACAATTTATCAGCTCCCACTTTGTTCTAGCAACAAGTTTCCAGATTATTTATAAAAGGTATTAAGATTGGTTCCTGGGACAACCAGGAACCAATTGTACACAATTTGGTGTCATTTAGGTAGAGGAAAATGACTGGCAAGCAAAGAAAAGAAAAATGAAATTCTTGAAATCTTTTACACCTTCTATGTTAGAATAGTTCACACCTACTTTCTGGTTTTGTTCTAGTAAACATACCTGGACTGGCTTCATCACAGATGCAAGCTTAGCCCTCTGAGACATGTGAAGTGACTCTCAATCCTGCTTCCATAACTAGGTAGAACCAGGTCCCTTAAATTCCTTTCCAGATCTAAAAAGCACCCAACTATGATCCACTTTAAAATGTACTTCGTAGGGGCCCAAATCAACACAAACCCAAGTGCATTTTTGAGATTAACTTTTCTGGTCATGATTCAGAACTGATCTCTCCTGTCTCCAAGATTCTCAAAGGCTGGTAGTACACCACTCTGTGCTGCTTATTTCAGCCTACGAAATGGGGCTTACCTCTTGGTTACCCATTGCCTCCTCTGCCTCTGGTTCATGCTTATTTTCTGAGCCTGCTTAGCCCACTCAATGATCTAAGTTCACTCACTGGGGTTCCTGGAATTTGCAATCACCTAGCTCTTTCTACACCTTTGTTTTCATTGTGACATTTCCATATATGCTTACAATGTAATGTGGTTAGGTTCGTTCCCACCATCATTCTCCCTCATTCTTTCCCCCACTCCCAATTAAAGCGATTTCAATGCTCTATTTTCATACAAGTATGTAAAGAATATCAAACATCCTATTTTACCCTATCCTTCACCTGCCCCCTCTCCCAGTACTACTCACTCCCTAACAGGACCTACTTTACAGCCTTCATTTTCTTAAAGTGTACATTCATTGTTCAAAGGGAATTTGCCATGATATTTCACCCTTGGATATATTATTCTTTAATCAGATTAACTCCCTCTATTACTCCCCATTCCCCTTTCCCCCAGTCCCTATTATTCAAGAGTTTTCAGTGCATTTTGTTATGTCTTCTTCCTACACAGATGCAATGTATTTCGGTACTATTCACTATTATTCTATTAATCTCTTTTCCTCCCCCCGCCCCAGTCCTCTCAAATGGGACAGTGTTTCTCAAGGAATGGTGTGTGATCACTCCTGGAACGGTGGTGAAATCTGCGGATTCTAAGGGCTCAGCTACATCTCCGGAATAAGAATTCCCAAGGGGTAACGCTAGGCAGTTACCTGTCAACAAGCTTCTCTGGTTGATTCTAGGCATGAATTATTTTGACATTCTCTTTGAGCAAACTGCGTTTTTCAGGGTTTTTTTGTTTTCGTTTTTGTTTTAAGAACGAGTTACTAAATTAGAGACTTTTACTAGTAGTACGAGAATATAGTAACATCCACAGAGGAGGGGCAAGGGGTTGTTGGAAGATATCTGGAACTGGCTTCAGCTTGTCTCACACACCTTGATGCTCAAGTAGGAATTCCCGCAGAGAAAAGTAAGTCTGCGCCGCCCTCCCCTGTGCCCCAAGAGAGGGTAGAAGACTCTGGAATTCGAACTCAAGACCAGGACAGAAGGTGGCGCCAAGGCCGCAAGTGCTGTACAAACCTCCCCAAGTAAGCCAGAACACCAAGCCCCTAAAGCATGCAAAGGTGGCCCCGCCCCTCCCGTTACCATTGGCCACGGCGGAAGGTTCGCAAAGTCAGCGTGGCACGAAAGGCGGGACTTCCTTTGTAGAAGCCAATGCGCATGCGGAGGTCAGCCCGTCACATGGCATTTGTTGTCGCGAGATCTTGAGGACCAATGAAAGTGCGTAACTGCAGGCCCACGTGGCTACGTTGCCATTAGCAACCGGAGGCTTCTAAACAACCTATTTTCCCTCCTATCTTCGGTGGCCCAACCACCCGCGGTGAGCCTAACGGTTGGCAAATCTCTGCCTGCTGTCTCTCGCTCGGTTAGCCTCCTGACTCCCGTCCGTCACCATGGTGAGTAGCCGGCCTTCTGGTGCCAGGGAGTGGGCAGCGGCCGGACCTAGAGATGCTGAGCGGGAGAGTCTGGATCATGGCGTGACCTGAGCGGGTCTGAGTGCCCCTCCTGGGCCTCTCTAAGGAAGGCAGCCTGCGCTAGGCTTGGAGGCTCTCTGCAAACCTCGGCTCGAGCCCCTCTCTGGTAATCCTTGGTGAAGCTGTCGCGTAGCAGCCTCACCCCCGCCTTGCGGGGACCGGGCCAAGTCACAGCTCGCAGGAGGCGCAAGGGAGGCTCTCACCACACACAGACCTCTCCCTCCATCGTTCCCTCCCTTCCGTCCTTTCTTCCTCCTCCCCCCTCCCTCCTTCCTTCCCTTCTTCCTCAGTCCCCTCCCTCCCCCTCTTTCCCCTCCCCCTCTCCTTTATCAGCAAAACAATGAAGGGTTAATTGAACTGAGGAAAGAGAATAATTCCAGCTTTTTTGTTTAATAGTTGGTTGAATCCAACATTCGGATGCAGAATCTTTTCGTCTTTAAGAATCCAGGAATCTCATTTGTGACATTTGTTTTGTTCTAAAAAAGAACATTGAGCTGGGAGTGTAGTTCAATGGTAGAACTCTAGCTTAACATGAGCAAGATCCTAGGTTCAGTCCCTGTCGCCAAAAAATGAAAACCACTAATTCTTCCAGCAGAGATATCCTGACAATCTAAATAGCAATCATACATAGAAGAGTACATGGTATTGAAGTTGAAGTGAAATAAAACCAGATTTGAGAATACTGCTTAAATGGGCTACTGAAATATCTGAACAATAATTCCTAACTTCCCCCCACTCTATTCCAAGCACTCTACTGGATGTGAGCCAAACAAGCCCTTACCATTCTTTAGCACAGAACCTGTCCCACTTCTCTTGATTTCTCAAAAATATAATGAAAATGAGTTGAGAAAATGGTGATGTTGATGTCACCAAAAAATTGATACTTGTTCCCTATTCTGCCTTGTGTTTTTTCTATCAGTTCGATTAAAAACTGAGGCTCTGGAATCAGGCCTAGGTCCTTCATTAGTAATCTGCAGGGTTGTTAAAATGATAAGTGAGATAATGCATATAAAATAAGTAACACAGAACCTGCTGAAATATTAATCAACATTTTACCTGCTCGCATAATCTTGAGGACCAATGAAAGTGTGTAACTGCAGGCCCACATGCCAACTTCTCTTAAATATCTGTTAAGCTCTCATCTTGTTTAAAATAATGGTTAGCTAGTGGCTACTTCCAAAGCAAATATACTTTTTAAAACTGTATTTGATGGAATAAGGTTAAGTTGCTCTGAGACCCCAAAAAATAGTTGGTTAAAGAATACAGAAGTTTCTTTCTCACTTAACTATCTCATTACTTATTTCAGTTAGATGAGTGAGTCATTGCTGCTCCATGAGGTAAGGACATGGGTCCTTTTCGACTTGGTGTCACAGCCCCTGGGCACTAGTATGATCTGCCTGGCTCACCACCTGTGCCACGCTTCAAAGAAACAGGGTGCTGCAAAGATGTACCCCATATTTTAAGCTCCAAGGTTTGGAAATAGCGCACACCTCTTCCCTTCCTGAGAAGTAGTCACTTGGCTGCATCTGACTGCAAGGGGGAAGCATCACCTAACAGGGCAATCCTGTAGTCAGGAAGAAGGGAAGAACAAAATCGAATGGGCATCTGACCGGCTCTACTACAGACACCCTGTATATTCTCATTGGGTTCGTTTGTCAAATCTTCAGGATTAACAGATTGCTGCCCTCTTTTTCAGGCAGAGTTGGGCCTAAATGAGCACCATCAAAATGAGGTTATTAATTACATGCGTTTTGCTCGATCAAAGAGAGGCTTGAGACTCAAAACCGTAGACTCCTGCTTCCAAGACCTCAAGGAGAGCAGGTATGAGGGGACTCCTTGGAAATCAAATAAGAAGGTGTATGCTTTACAGTAGCCATGAGAAGCTGCACTAAGCCTCGAGGATATATAAGATCAAGAAATTGGATTGTGGTGGCAGCAATGAACCTATAATCAGATATACACATCATCATAATTTTACAAGGGTGAAGTTTCAGATAGGTAGTCAGGAAGTTGTGAACGGCTTGTGGATTAATGATTCCATAACTCTTAATTTCTTGAGTTATACATTAAAATTTAAGTACCATAAGGTGGCAATTTAACAAGAAAACACCTGTACCATTCATTATTGAAGAATCAGGAGAGGGAAAAACAGTAAGGAAATCATGAAAACTCATGGACTATAGTACCAAAATTGTTAGTTGATTTGGGGCCAAAGATGATGATAAGTTTCATTGGACCCATAATGCAAGGTAGTTAAATGTCAAGTTCAGACATAAGTGAACAAGACCTCCAGGTGATCTACAACTGTCACAAAGCCATGAACTTTCTTAGTAGTAGAGCTCATCAGCCTTAGGCTAGTGTCTGTTCAATTCTTTAATCTGGTAATCTAGCTTCCAAACCCCCAGCAGATGAAAACAACAAATGGCAAGAATATGGAGTGTTCTATTAAAGAACATAGATAAATAAAATTTTCATTTTTAAGAGCACCTAAATTCTGCTTAGATGAAATGCTGAAGAATTAGAAACCAGGTATAATACAACTTTGCTAATACTTAACAACTGGCCCTTGCTTGATTTTGTCTGTTGGAAGAGAGGAAGAAGGCAATGCTAAAGCGGGGACAGCTGCTGCTGTCTCACTGAAAGTGTGAGGGAAAGGAACTTTGAGGAGGGATTGCATTGCTCCGAGAGCAGGAGGTACATGCAGAAACCTTGTCAAGGACCCAGCTGTTGCGCACATGGCTGAGATTTTGGAAAATGGTTGTGCGGCTTAGTCACCCCTGGTGGAGGTGGCACATCTCCTCCACCCTCTTGAGCCTCATTTTTCTACCCGTAGTTAGGATATTGAAGAACTTGGCTCTCAAGGTCCCTTCCAACGCAAACGTCTCTGAGGGAGGGTATATATATTTTTAAGACAGGGTCTCAGTGTGTAGCCCAGGCTGGTCTCCAACTCTCAGTCCTCCTGCCTCAGCCTCCCAAATGCTGAGATTATAGGCCGGTGCCACCACAGCCAGGTAGGTGGGAGTAGTTTTTAATGCTGTTGCCAATCACTGTACATTTTTGTGGTGTGGTAGTAGACTTTTTTTCTCAAGAATGCTAAGAAGAGCGATAGATGATTACCACTTATTTCTCTCACGCATTTACTATGTATGAATAGTTCATGCAATTACTGAAGTGTTAGAAAAATAATAGAAAAAAGGGAGAAACTATATATTCCAGGTAACTTTGTAAAGTTACTAGACATGGTAAGACTAATTTTTAGTGAAGGTAAAAATAATTAATACTGAAAAATTAGGCCAGGCACAGCGGCCCAAGACTTATCCTAGCTACTTGGGAGATAGAGGTCAGGAGGATCACAGTTCTAGGCCAGACTAGGAAAAAAATGTTTACAAGACCCCCATCTCAACCAATAAAAGCTGGGTATGATGGCACATGCCTGTCATTCCATCTATGGCAGAAAGCATAAAAGCAAGACCCTATCTCTAAAAATAACTAAAACAAAAAAGGGCTGGAGGTATGGTTTAAGTGGTAGAGCACCTGCCTAGCAAGAATGAGGCTCAGTGTGTTCAAACCCCAATACTACAAAGGAAAAAAAACTAAAGAAAAGGTGATGGGTTGGGGGAATGTTTCTCAGTATGTACTTACATTAAAAGATAAGCACATGTGAAGAATTAGCCACAATTTAATTTTTAATAAATATAAAATTGATTGAGTTTAAATTCCAACCTGTTCTATTAATTAAAAGAAGATAATTCCCAGAGATATTTTCACCTTTATTCTTTAGCTGACATGAATGCAGGATTCTTAATTCTGCTGTATTTTGTAAACCGCTTTTGTTGCTTATCTAGACGTTTTATCACGATGGTTTTCCAGGCTGGTAGAGGAGACCTTCACCATGGATGAAGTTGCAGAGGTCCTGAATGGGCTGCAGGCCGTGGTTCACAGTGAGGTGGAGTCTGAGCTCATCAACACAGCCTATACCAATGTGTTACTTCTGCGGCAGCTGTTCACACAAGCTGAGAAGTGGTACCTTAAGCTACAGACAGACATCTCTGAACTAGAAAACAGGTCAGACACACAGTAGAGGCCCAAGCATCACCTTAAGTTAGTGAATGACTTTGCTACCACTTTTGGGGGGACTAGGGGTGAGAAAACTTGGGCAGGATAGCACAAGGCATATAGTCACTGGGTGATCCCTTGGGTAGCACCAATGTCCTTTTAAAAATTCTGTTTTGACCCTCCCTAGATATCAGAAGGGCCTCTAAGATTATATGAAATTGCTTTTCAAGCTGCCATTAATTTTTCCTATTAGAAAATTAGCTAGATCAACTAAGAAATAGATTATGAAATAGTTGAAAAACTAATTCAAATATAATTGCCATCAGTCTAGACAAGCAGCATTGCAAGTTTATTTCTGAAATGCAATTGCATTTAAAATCACGCAGTTACCATTAAGATGAGAAATATAAACTATTAGAAAGTATGTGAGCTTAACAGTATTGAAGAGCACATTCCTTTCAAAAGCTAGGGTAAAGGCAGGGACACTGAACCTCATTCTAAGGAAAGACAATCCAGAAACAAGGAAGAACTGGTGACCCCGCCCTGCAAAGTGCTCTCACAGCAGAGTACATCATGTCAGGCCCAGGTGGGATGTTGAACAATGCCAAGGATGGCCTACAGGCAAGGAAGGAAAATCATTTACCTTCTGCAGCTATCAGGAGGTGACTGGGGAGGAAACTGGTTGTTAATTTATGAAGACACTTAGAGAGTGGCATGCAAGCGTGTGTCTAGGAAGCTCTCCTTTATCTTTGCAGGAATATGTGATGCTTGTTTTCAGGAGATTCTGTGGGAATTTTCATTTTCTGAGGCTGCACAAAAAATCAGAATTGTTCTTAGCTAACAATGTATAACATGTAATAGAGAAATCTCGGCACCTCACAACTATAGACACCAAACAAAAAAAAGAAATATAGACACCAAGAAATACAAATCTCACTGTGTTAATATTGCAGCTTATCTCTGGCAATAGTTAACTGTGTGTCTAGCAGACATCCAGTGCTGGGTGCTGTGAGTGATCCACATTTGAGTTCACATCCAGTGAGTCTATTAGATTCTCATCCATTTGTAATTAAATACCGTTTTGGACGATGTGAAGATTTGTCCAATCTCTAGCATGTGATAGGTTGGTGCAAGTGCTTGTGTCCTTCTTTTGTGTGATATAAATATATCATAAATAAATATTCTTTTGTATTTGCTTTTATTCTCAAGAGAATTATTAGAACAAGTTGCAGAATTTGAAAAAGCAGAATTTACATCTTCAAATAAAAAGGTAATTTTTGGTCCTTCTAAGTTCACGTTTCTAAATAGCCAGTATTTAAAATCCTCAAGGCACTCAGAGCATGTGGAGGTTTAAGTGAGAACTTTCTAAGAAAAGTATTCAAGTTAGAATAGAATTAGTTTAGACTAGAATTCAAAAATTTCCTGGCAGATTTTCAGGCAAAAGAAGAAGAGTTTTAAAAGTAACTGTGAAAAACTATTTTTTGGCTTTTATAATCTACACACACACACACACACACACACACACACACACACACACACACTATCCCTGCATTCCACTCTGAATCCCAGCCAAGTAAACTCTTCACTCAGCTGATGCTCTAGGGTGAGCCAGACCTGAGTTATACCTTGGCTCAGTCCCTCCCTAGCTCTGTAACCTTGAGCAGGTTACCTGAGGTGGCTGAGCATCGTCTGTCACGCGAAGACAATACTAGTAGTTACTTACCTTTCTAAATTTCCTCATTCTGTGCAATGATCTCTTGTCACTCCGTTGTATGGATAACCATAAATATCCCGTTTTCATATGGCTAAATATTGCTGAGCTAAATCCACACAGACACTGAGAAAACATTTCCCAGTGATTCCTTTGTAACATATTCCTGGCTAAGAAATTTCTGAGTCTGAGGGCAGGGGTTCTTGTTTTTAATGCATATGGTGAAACTGCCAGGCCATTTATCAAGCTGCTGTGTATCTGTAGTGTAGTTTCAGTGTTACAGGCTTCACAGTCTGAGGTTCATGCAGAAATGTTTCAGCTCCCACAGATGGAAATCTCAGCTCCTAGACGCCAGGAGCTTTACCAGGTCTGGCTTTGAACTCCTTCCCTCTCTCTTTCTCTGTTTTGCTTTCCTCCTTTCCCTTCTGTTTATACTTTTGTAAAGGGTATAGGGAGGATGGATTTCATTTTTATCTCTTACCATATGTTGGGCACTGTGGACTGGGCACATCCTAGGCACGGACATATCAGAATGAAACCAGAAAAATCCCTAAGCCACAGAGCTGACGTCCTGGTTAATCTGATGACATACAGTCTTCTCTGCTTAGAGTGCAAGTGCTTGCTGATTGTACATGCTTTATTACCTGGTGACTTCAGTGTGGTTTCTTTATTTTGTTTCAGCCCATCATAGATATCACAAAGCCAAAACTTGTTCCACTTAATGAAGGTGGAACAACAGAACTCCTAAACAAGGTAATGTCATCATCATTTTGAGAAACAGAAAACCTCTAATTCTGTCCTCCCACTGCCTGAACAATTCTAGGGTAGAGAAACAGGTGAAAAGGCTGATTCAGGCTTTGGTCTACAGAGTGTTACTTAACAGAGCCCAGTGGGCAGGAAGAGGGCATCCTTGCTTTCTGCAGAGAGTGACACAGCTCCTTGATCACACCTCTTCGTGAGCAAGTGAAGGGTATGGGATTTTGGATGGTGTTTATTGATTGGTGTTTGAAGTCTGTAATATATGATAATATTGTAGGGTTTTTTAAAGAAAATTTTATAAAATGCTCAGTATACAGATACATATTTTTCATGATTCCTGCATTGTCAACATAGTGTAATTCCTGGTCCCTCACTTTCAAAAATGTTACAGTTTCATTGGAAAGGTAGAGCTAATATTCCAGAAGCCAAGATAAGAGAATCCTCCCGCACATGCTGTGATGTCACAGAGTAGCAGAGGATATGCAGTCTGTGGTGATGAGAGTGAGCAAGAACAGGCACTTGGGTACGGTGACCTCTGAACTTGGCTTTGAAGATGAAGACAGATGAAATTGTCAGAGGGAAGAAAAGAGGGCCTGTGGGCAGGGGACCAGAATAATCACTGGTCAGAGGCAGACAGAAGGCTGGCATGACTTGGAACAGTGCAGTGCCCTCTGACTGGCCACGCGGTGAGAAATACGACAGGTGGCTCTTGTGTCTGAGCTGCATAAGAGCAAAGGCATTTGGCCTTCGGTGGGTCAGAACATTCGGGGGCTTGAGCACATTGTGCTAAAGTGATAGTGACAGTGTTTTCAAGTATGTGGCAGCAATGTGCAATATAGGCCCAGGACAGACTCGAGCTGCAGGATTGGCTAAGGGAGAGATGACAGGAGAGGGCATTCTAAAAAACGGCTGAGAGCAGAGGACTGGAGGAGGAGAGGTTGTGTCTGAGAGACAAGGAGCTGGCAGTCTGAGAGCCAAAGCTAACAACAGGTATTAAAACTGGGATGGAGTGGGGAAAGAGAGAAATTAGGATATTACCACTAACCAAGGCATATGGATTTTTGAGCTGTTAATTTAATTTCAATTAACTTTTTAAGTGAACAAGCAATAATTTCAAGTATTAAACATATTTTGATTAAAACAATAAAACTTGAATTTATTCACAAAGGAAATTTTAAGACTTCAAGAAGAGAATGAGAAATTGAAGTCAAGGCTGAAGACCATTGAAATGCAGGTGACTGAGACATCCTTTAACAAAATTACTGAGTCACTTAGATATTAAGTTCTGAGTGTGTTATATTTCAACTTGATTCTAGGCTACAAATGCTTTGGATGAAAAGTCAAAACTAGAAAGAGCACTTCAAGATTTACAACTCAATCAAGGAAATCAACAGGTGAAACAGTTTATCTATTCTTTTCACATTTTCTAAATAGAATAAAGTTATAACTTACTATTAACTCTCAATCACTGTTCATTTTTACCCCATACCCTGCCACTCCCCAAGATGAATACTACTGTTGTCCTGCATTGGACGCCCTGGCCCAGGAGAGGCCAGGTAAGGATCAGTGCCCTGCCCTTGTCTGTCCCCAGGGCAGGCACACAGCACATACGCCTAACATGTGCCTTAGAGTTTACTGGCATGCAAGATAATCTTACATTTGAAGTTTTTCTCCTTTTACTTTCACACCCAATTGCAATGGGAACAAAGGAAGTGAAGAAAGGAAAGGGTTTTAGTTAACTGAATCTGTATTTGGGTTTTGTTATATTGAACATGGCTTAAGTTTGCCATGGTTGCGTGTGACAAAACAGAATGAAAATGAACTCTAAGGTATGGTTCACAGCCTGTCCAACATAGTGACTGAGTGTTGCTCCACCTGCTGGACTGTGAAGGACACGGTCTGTCTGCTGTGGCCTTTCCATGTATGTGGATGCTGTAATATGATTTGGTGTGAGCGGGGCCGCTCGGGTGAATTTTCAGTGCAGCATTGGCTTTTCTAGGGATACAGTTGTTGTAAATGTCTGCTTAACAGTACCCAACTTTTTTTTTTTTTTTGTGGCTGTACTGGGGATTAAACCCAGGTTCCTGATACACGCTCTACCACTTGAGCGACACCCACAACCCTAGGTTTTTGTGAAATTTTTTCCTATGAAAAAATGTCAGACACATACATAAGTACAGAGATTGTGTGATGGACCCCCTGGCCAGCCCTCAGCTTCACCTATCAGCACACTGGGCCTGGGTTTTATTTCTACCTCTACTTTCTTCTTCCTCCCTTTTTAAAGCAAGTCTCAGACATTGTACTGTTTCATCTCTGGATATTGTTTTAAATAGGAGGACAGTTTTAAAGAGTTGTTTTTTCTATGTGTCTTTTAAGTAAATGTATATGACTTTCCACCATTTTATTGCCAAGAACCACGTTTATAAAACAGCTGAATCTCCCAGGAGAGCTTTGTAATTTCTCAAAAATTAAAACAGTTGCAAATATTTTTGAATGATGAATTTGTTTAAAAGCCATTTGGGTCTTCACATCAAGATTTTTGAGACAAAAGCAGAATGAGCACAGGGCTTTCCTAGTTGCAATGAAATAAAATCTTTTTTAAAGACTAGATTTCAAAAATGAAGAAGGATTTTTTTGTTTTGTTGAAAAGACTGCTTCATCTATGTATTTAGCAAGTATAGACTTTTGTTCCATATCAGTACAAATCTTTTTTCTGTCATGAATTTTATCCAGTCAAAAATCCAGATAGAAGATCCATCCTGCAGTTCTAAAATTATGCAAAAGTGTACATTACTCACTACTATAAGAAACTGATTTTGTAAATAATGACTAAAACACATACTCCTAAAGTTTCCATATAACTCTTATTACTGTTATTGGTTTTTTTCTACCTATACCATTTTGAGGAATTCAAAATATTTACCAGGATTTCTTTTAGTTTGGTTTTTCAAAATGGTATCTATTTGCCATCACAACTCAGACACACATGATGTTGTCAAATTAAGATGTCACCTCTTCCCCATTCCTCTTGGACTGGAATGCCAGCAGTTCATAATCATATTTCATATGTTTAGAACTCAGTGACTACCGAGTGTTTGCTGTCTGTGAGACATCACGCCCTGGGGCCTGGGATGGCCTAGGCCTGCGGCAGCCCTGAAAGGACTGGCGCTTCCCCAGGTGAAGGAGGCTGCACACACACACAGCACACAACATTTTTCCTTTTGCCTTCTGGGATGTTGGGTCAGCATTCTAAAACAGTTTTCATTTAAGATGTCAACATGAAATTATGTTCCTGTATTTCTTTTTCATAGGACTTTATAAAGGCACAAGACTTGAGTGACTTAGAAAACACAGTTGCAGCTTTAAAGAGTGAGTTTCAGAAGACAATTAATGACAAGACAGAAAACCAGAAGTCCCTGGAAGAGAACCTAGTGACAGCCAAGCACGACCTCCTCAGGGTTCAGGAGCAGCTGAGCATGGCTGAGAAGGTCAGAAGACTGTGTTGAAGGGACTGGTCTGTTCACATCCGATTAGTAGAGAGGAGCAAGTGTGCCTGAGATAAACACTGGACAGCTGCAAATGCAGATTACTTTTTCAAGGTGTTAGTCAGTATATGTTCTAACGAGCTATCACTCTGGGCCTTGCATTCTTCCATCTTTGGTGAAACGAGGGGCTGCTCCATGCAGCAGCCTCCGCCCTGCACCCCAGCACTGCTCTTCTGCTTCTTCCTCCTCCAGCCAGCAGGGGATGGGTGCCTTTTCTTTTTTAAAGATTTCTGGACCTTTTTCATAATTTATGTGACATCTATAGAGCTAAATTCTTCACTTTAGGAATTAGCCTCATAAGAATATCGGAGCAAAAGTCTAATCCAATTAGACTTTTAAGGAAATTAGAAGACAAGCAAAATATCCATAAACTTAGAGCAAAAAAAAAACCCATATTTTTATCACATTTGTTACTCTTTCCTTTACTGTTTCTTCATAATGGGATAACATTTTTCACTCTGCAGGAATTAGAGAAGAAATTTCAACAAACGGCAGCTTATCGGAACATGAAAGAGATTCTCACCAAGAAGAATGACCAAATCAAAGACCTGAGGAAAAGACTGGCCAAGTAAGCCGGCTGAGCCCGCCTCCGGCTTTTTCTCCCTGCTGGGTTGTTTGCTCACTGTTAAATCTACACTTGTGTCCAGAGGGGTCAGGCCCATGGGGAGTTGCTCAGTCCATGTGAGGGAAGCAGAGGGGCCTCAGGCTGGCCTTGCCCACTGTTCCCTCAGGACACAGCTAGACTATCCCACTCACCTCGTGACACTTAGCTTCTCTTAACAGTGGATTCACTTAGCAGGATGTGGCACAGAAACAGTGGCTACAAGGCAGCACTAGGTATTTCTCCTCCATGGTCTCCTCCTTGTCCAATGTCATCTGCCAGTGGGGCCATTTTGTTGTCAACAGTTTTGGCTAGAGACTCAGTTGGCATTTTGCCTTTAACGGAGTTCCCAGGGAAGAAAGCTAGAAAGTGAATTTAAGATCAAATTTGCCCCAAGTTCACCCTTAACTCAGCCATATTAGCTGTTCATATCGATCTGAGGATCGAGATCATTATTCTAAGCTATCATGAGTCTAAATGCCAGCTTTGGAGACCTGGAGTCTGAAGGTAAGTTCAGGTATCTGTTGTGGAAATCCCCAAGCCAGCGTTACAGCACCTTGAACACAGTGGTTCAGTAACACGGCGTTATTGGGTTAGTCACTGCAGATGATCCGTGTAAACTCATTGGGTATGACAGCAACGGCAACAAGGATAGAAAGTGTGGTGACATTATGCTCTTAATTTACACCTCTAGATATGAATCTGAAGATTGAGAACAGAAGATTTCCTCTAGATGCTGCCACATGAACAAACAGCTGCCTCTTGCCCCAGCATGCATTTTGAAGTTCTTTGTTAGTCCCTCCCCTTATTTTTCTAATATTTAGACTTCCTTCAGATACTTAGAACTAGACTTCCTATTTTCAGTTGTCTAATTGAGAAGAAAAAAATGTAATGATTCCTTTTGATTGTCCTGAACTCCTCTGCACAGTGCTCCTGTCCTTAGCGTGAATGCAGTGAGAATTGTTCACAGTGAGGAAGAAGAGTGGGAAGAAGAGTCTCATCCTTTGGCGTTAGTATGAAGAGTACAGCTTTTTAATAAATGCTAAGGAAGCTAGCAGTAGCTATTCTTGTGCATTCCCCAAAGGTAAAAATAAATAATATGAGTCATTAAAAATAGCTATTACAAATAAACCTTATTTCTACTTTTAAAAATGAAATCCTTTTGTTTGTTGGTGGGACTGTGGTTTGAACCAGGGCTTCGCACTTGCAAAGCAGGTGCTATACCACTTGAGCCACACCTCCAGTCCATTTTGCGCTGCTTATTTTTGAGATGGGGTCTTGTGAATTATTTGCCTGATCTGGCTTTGAAACGTGATCCTCCCTATCTCAGCCTCCCAAGTAGCTAGGATGACAGGCATGAGCCACCAGTACCCAGCTAAAAAATGAAATCTTAATTCATTTACTTTATTGGATCATCAAAAGAATACTTGAATTCATGGAAAATGTGAGTACTGTCTATTGTAGGCAGACAATGACACCAATATCTACCAATGACAAAGAAAGTTAACAGCAGTGAACACGAGGTTCAGTTACTTCTTTGCTCTCTCTGTTGTAAGTTCAGTTTATCAGAGGAGGTACAGACACTGGCAGTCTGATTACCATGTGAGTCTCTGTCACTGATGGAGAGGTCAGATCTGTCCTGCTCAGAGTAACCTTCACACTTGTTTCCAGAATGTTCTTTTAAGTTACATGCTAAATAAGAACTCTTGAAAAACTTATACTCAACATAAAGTCAGTGACCAGACCTCAGGTTGGACTTTAGGTTAAAGTTTATGTTCATGATGATAGCTGTTTCATTTAGCCATTTTCCATTGGTCCTGCTTTTTCTCAGGGGATTTTGGATAAGTCATTAAAAACTGGACACCATTCATGTCGTTTTGTAATGCAATGCACGTTTTGTTTCTGAGGATAAATACTGAATAGTCAAATCTCTTACATTTTATAAAGTGTTATTTCCTCTGTTTTACACCTGTAGCATGCCCTTTAACTATTACACATTAAAAAACCGTTAGACCAAGAAAAATAAAACTTTGAAAACTTCTAACTTTTAAACTAGCAGTGGGCCTACTTTTAAATCAACTAGCAGCTCATGAAATGTCTTTTAATAAGCACTTGGGAAGCAGTCGTGACCACCAGGAGCCACTGCGGGTCTGTCTGGCTAGCAAGAAACCATAGCAGGCTAAACTCAGGCACTTTTACAAAACATGAGAATTTCAGCAAAGAGCTTGACAGAACAGCCCGTGTAAAAAGGTCCTAGTTGGATTCTCCAAAATGTAGACTCTTGGATAAGGATTTTAGTGCAGGTAAGTCATCTGGGGATTGATTCCTGTGAGACGCAGGAATCAAGACAGATTGAGTTAACCTCTGTGAGCAACTGAGACACAGTCTTGCCGAGGACCCTCTGAGAAATGGTATCTCTGAATTCTTCCACTGAGGGGCTTGAGCTCATTACCCACCATTTTCCATCCCTCTGGGGTAAAAGGTCAAACCTGAGGTGTTAATTGCTCGCCATATCCAGTCTGCCCTGCACAGGGACCAAGTCTCCTCACAACCACAGCGTGCACTCAGGCAAAGACCGGAAGCCGAGCCTCCCTGTGAGAACTGTGTCTATCTCAGGCAAACCCAAGAGTTTGCTCAACAGGAATGACCACTGGGTTTCTTTTAGAAATACTCTGGAGTTAGATGGCAGTGATGGTTGTACAACTATGAATATCATAAAAACCACTGAATTGTATACTTTCAAGGGTGAATTTTATATGTAAAAAATATCCCAACTAAATAAAGGAAAACCATGGGGGCAAATGGAGGAGGGGATATGTTGAAGCAATTGCCAGCATCACCCCCTGTTCCACTTGCATCAGCTTATGTCCTGTGTGAAGTCCACTAGCTTAAGGATAGTGGCTGATCACAATCTTTTTTAAAACAATAATAAAAGGAAAACGTCAACACAAAGATTACTGAGACAAGCTATTTCCTCATCATTGCAAACTGGTTCTGAAGCCATAGTTAGCATTTGTCGTCCCCCTCTTCTACTCACTCTAGATGTCCCCTCACCCTCACCCAGCACTTGTGCTGGTCAGCATTGCTTGCCTAGCAGGATGGTCCAGACCTTCCTCTCTCAGGGATCTGGGGCCCTGTCATGCTGTAGTTGTGAAACGTCCTATTTATTGTCCTCAGATATCACCAAGCACCTCTTTGGATCTTCCTTGCCCTTAAACATACTTCCAGTCCTAGCTCAGGCTGTTAACCCTCTGCCACTGTGCTGACTCCCTGACCAGTTGGTGTGCTGAGTCAAGGAGCCCAAAATGAGCTGGCCGCAGCCATGGCTTTGGGTTAAGTGGAATCTCCCAGGGTCTGTTGATGGGACTTGGGACCACCCTTATTGGTCTGGAAGTAATGAGGGGAAGTGGGGAAAATGTTGGGGAGCACCAAAATTACCTTACTAATCTTCTTCCAAGACAGGCCTTTGAATGGTATCCATGTGAAAGAAGGCTGCTGTCTTCTCACAAGGGGCCTGAGCTACTTCTGGGAGACCCAGTGGCTCAGGAATGCAGGGCGTCAAGGTCATTAGGGGTATCTACCCAAATGTGCCCATCTTAGAATTTCCTTCCCTTAAAGGAGATTTTCCAGGCATGTGCATTTGGTCCCCTTTGTAATTAAACCACCCTCATAATCAAACCTTGGTCCCAATCCTGTGTTTATTTTGGCTTCTACACATAGGAGGGCTCTCTAATGCTACCTCAAGGCCTTCAAGTTGTCAGAGCATCTCCCAAGGGATAATTGCCAATCAGAGCCTGTCTTTCTCTTCCTTCATCCCAATCCATGCCTTGTGAAAATTTGATGCAGCAGTATGACCACATTTACTACCACCATGCTTACTATCAGGGAAGTGGTATCCTGTGGCGTCCAGATAGCATGCAAGGGCAGTTCTTCATGAGGGGCTCTTTCTAGGGCCACTTCTTGACCAGCTGTGTTTGTGGGGTTTCCCTAAATCCTCAGGATTTGCTTTCTTGGGAGGTGACCTCAGGAAGGATGGTTAGGACATGGCCAGGGAGACAGGAGGAAGGTTACCACTGGGGACCACCATGTTCAATACCACTGAGAGTGAGGAAGCTAAGAGCAGACCCTTCCAAGCCTCATTTATCAGAATGAGGGATGCCTCTCAGATGCTAAGCCCCAGCACTAGTTGAGAGTCCAGGTGAAGAGATAGAGAACCTTCTGCAGGTCACCCCTCAGGCTAGGATAAGAGAGTGTGGGTGGTCCCACAAGGAATAGAGAAGACAGAATAGCAAGTGCAATGTATAGTTACACATTTTCAATACCCACTCATCAAAGGGCCAATTCAAATGAAATCTCAAACCCTGCTCAGCATTGTCAGCCCCGTATGCTTACATGGCCTAGACACAGATGCCTTTAAATAGTAACAGCTCTGAAATAGCAACCCTGGACTGAGTACCTGGACCAGAACCTGCCTTTGTGAGTCAAGTATCAGGTCCTTTGCACATACTCTAAACATTTATGAAATTGACCTTCTACTTCCTGCCCCAAATACTGCTTAAGCCATAAAAACCCTTGGGTAGGTTGTAAAATAATCAGATGTTACCTATAAACTATTTCCTAATGCTGAATTTCTCCATATGAATGACCAAAACTTATTTAAAATCAGCCATTAAAACAATCCCTGAAACAGAATGTCATTTTATTTTCTCTGGAACAATGAGTAATAATTTTATCTTTTTCTGATGGCTCAGTCTCCTTATGACAAGGTGTCAATGATTACTCTACATTGCAATGTTCTCAGGAGGTGCTGAGTGGGGAGAGTCGTTTGCCCCTTTAATATATGTTGGCAAGGACACAAACAGTTTGTTTGAACCGGTGTACTTGGTTTTCATGGGTTACCCATGTCCTATCCTTGGCTGGCAACTATGCCATCCCTGTTGGCATTTCTAATGTAGAAAACAAATAGACAAGCTTATTCCAGTTATCTGTAGCCTAAGGATGAGGACTTAAGGGACTCTTCTATGAGCAGGGTACACAGGCTTTGTGGCATCTTGGCTATCCCAGGACTTCCTGGATTGCTTTAGGAGAAAATGTTAATCTCCCAGGTTATCTGCTTTGTTTCAGATACTTGAGGGTCCAGGTAAATGATTCTGGATAAATGAGATCCAGATCTTTTATTTCTTTCTTTTGCCATATTGCACTGGCTAGGATTTCTAGTTCAGTGTTACATCCTTATCTCATTCCCAATCTCAGGGGGAATACTTTGAATATTTCACCAATAAAGATGATGCACTTTGCTATTTTGTATCACATTAAGGAAGTTCTTTTTTATTCCTTCTTTGCTAAAAGCTTTTATAAAAATTTTGAGTGGGTGTTGAATTTTGCCAAATGCCTTTTCTACATCTATTGAGATGTTGGTTGTGATTTTTTATTGTTGTTGTTAAGGTGAGATATGGTAGCTACTTTTTTTTCATAATTTTTGATATTACACTAGTCTCTGAGTCCTGAGTGTGCTTCTCTTGGTCACTGTGATGGATGCTGTAGAGAATGGTTACACCCTGGCACGCAGTCCCATTCAGGCAGAGTTGACCAAAACTAATCTACCTGTTGGCGTGATGTCTTCTGGTTCTCCTGAAACATGAGAGGATGGAAGGCTTCTGATGAGGGTCCAAGGACCTCAGGATGGACCTGCAGAATACAAACCTGCTTGGTTGTGGTCCAGACGTGGCTCTTCAGCAGCAGGGTTATTCCACAGCTCATGGTACCATCATCCTGCCTGTTTCGATTAGCTGATGTCCCTTTTGGTGTGTGGGACAAGGACCTGGAGAGCTGGCATCTTTCACTTACTCTCTTTCTTCTTTGTGTAAATAATAAATTACCTGAATCTAAAAACAGCTCATCCTATCTTTACCATTGGACTCAGTCTGACCTTGGCCTCGCCCTGGTCGCTGCTGTGTACTTGGCAATATCCATCCAGATATAAAGGACTGTGACCCCAGCTTCTGGCATTCAGGCCTCTGATTAGAAAATACCTCACCCAAGTTCATTCTCTGTTCAAGGCTGCTGCACCCAACAGCAGTCGACCAGAAGTATAAACGGGTGTGGCTCTCTTGTGCCAAGCGTGTG